GTACCATTCCTGGTTCTCATGTGGATGAGGATTTCTAACTGTATTTCACTGAGTTATAACTATTTTTTAAATCAAAGGTTGTTTGCCTCAAAAGAATCCTGGGTATAAGTTGTTCCTTTCTACTCTTTTCTCCACAAGAAATTAAAGAGTTTAGGTAGATCTGTTTAAATTGGTTTTCCACTTAAAATTTACTTTACCTTTTTGTTAAATACTTTTTCATCTAAACATGTTTTTTTCTTATTTCATTTTGATTTACTTAATTTTGATGAAGGATGTTGGCTACCTATCATATGCTAAGGACTTTTAGTTTTGGAACTTGTATTTGGTAAAAGTAACTGAGGAATTTTGAAGATCTTCCAGGAAACTTGAGATTTCAATGCAAATTGTATTTTGCATTATTTAGCTTTTCAACCAATCTTTCTTTGCATGTCATTTCAGCTATCAGAAGAAAAAAACTGCTATTGCACCATTTGATTTTTTTAAGTATGGCATCTTATGAGATAAGCATTTGTTTGTTTATCATGTTTGGAAAACATGCTTTCCCCCTTTTTTTCTTTCTTTCTTTTTCCTTTCTTTTCCTTTCTCTCCCCATTTAATTATTCTTCTTCTTTTTATTTATTAACCAGTAAAGGCTTTTGATTTCTTTAAAATATAAAATAAACTTTGAAATAAAATGTCAAGAACTTGAAAGAAGAATATGACAAAAAATAGAAGTCAAAGGTAAAAGAGGTATGGTTAACACATGAAGGAGAACAAGAAGTAAGGGTTTATATGACAGCATGACTGGAAATTTGAACTAGAAGGTGGGATAGTCTTAAGATTGGGAACCTTGAGTCTGAGAAGGGGTTGACAGTGTCTATTTTTGGCTCTGTGGAGTAGCTATAATGTGCATTAGTGATTATTTCTGAGTCTGTCACTTACCAGCTCTTTGACTTTGTAGGTTAGTTATGTCCCATTGTTGTGATTCATTTTTGTACTCTGTAAAATCTGATTTAAAATACCTTTTTAGCAGGATACAAAATTAATGTACAGAAATCCATTGTGTTTCTGTATATGAGTAATGAACAAGAAGGAGAAATTAAAGAAACAATCCCAATTACAATTGTATCAAAAATAATAAAATACCTATGAATAAATTTAACCAATGAGGTGAAATACCTGTGCTCTAAGAACTATAAGACATTGAAGAAAGACATTGAAGAGGGCACAAATAAATGGAAAGATATACTGTGCTTATGGACCAGAAGGATTAATACCATGAAAATGACCATACTGCCCAATGCAATCTAAAGATTCACTGCAATCTTTATTAAAATACCAATGACATTCTTCTAGAACTAGAACAAATAATCCTAAAATTTATATGGAACCACCAAAAATCACAGATAGCCAATTTCAAACTCTATCACAAAGCTATAATAGTCAAAACAGTAAGGTACTACCACAAAAAAATACACACATAAATCAATGGAACAGAATAGAGAGCCCAGAAATAAATTCTTGCTTATATGGTCAGCTAATCTATGACAAAGGAGGCAAGAATATACGATGGAGAAATGACAGTTTCTTCAAGTGGTGTTGCGAAAACTGGACAGATACATGAAAAAAAAATGAAACTGGACCACTGTCATACACTGACTACAAAAATAAACTCAAAGTGGATTAAGGACTTAAATGTATGACCTGAAACCATAAAATTCTAGAAGAGAACATAGTAAAACTGTTTGATATCAGCCTGAGTAATATCTTCATGGATGTGTTTCTTTGAGCAAGGGGGGCAAAAAGCAAAAATAAACAAATGGAACTTTATCAAACTAAAAAGCTTCTGTACAGCAAAGGAAACCATCAATCAAACAAAAAGACAATATAACTGAATGGGAGAGTATATTCACAAGTGATATATCCAATAAGGGGTTAATATCTAAAATATATAAGGAACTCATACAACTCAATAATAACAAAAAAATAAACAATCTGATCAAAAAATGGGCAAAGGACATGAAAAGACATTTCCCAAAGAGGACATACAGATGGCCAACAGATATGAAAAGATGTTCAACGTCACTAATCATCAGGGAAATGCAAATCACAACCACCATGAGATACTACCTCATATCAGTCAGAATGGCTATAATCAAAAAGTCAACAAATAACATGTGTTGGAGAGGATGTGGAGAAAAGGGAACACGTGTGTACTATAGTGGGACTGCAAGTTGGTGCAGCCACTGTGGAAAACAGCATGGAGAGTCCTCAAAAAACTAAAAGTAGGTCTACCATACAATCCAGCAATTCAACTTCTGGGTATTTATCTGAAGAAAAAAAAATGCTAATTTGAAAAGATATGTGCACCCCTATGTTCATTGCAGCATTACTTATAATAGCCATATCTTGGACATATGGACAACCTAGGTGTCCATAGATAGATGAATGGATAAAGAAGATGTGATATATTCATTCAAAATGGCCTATTATGCAGCAATAAAAAAGAATGAACTCTTGCCATTGCTCCAACATGGATGGACCTAGAGGATATTATGCTAAGTGAAGTAAGGCGGTCAAAGAAAGACAAATACCGTATAGGTTTACTTACATGTGACCAAAGGAATGGTTGCCAGAGGGGAAGATGATGGGAGGATGGGTGAAAAAGGTAAAGACAGATGTAATCAATAATATTGTCATAAGTTTGTATGGTGATTGATGTTTACTAGAATTAGTAGCATGGTCACACTGTAAGGTATAAAAATGTTGAATTACTAAATTGTGCACCTGAAACTAATGTAACATTGTATAGCAACTATACTTAAATTAAAAAATATATAAAAAATTAAGGAGTAGCTATTACTGTAGAACAAAGAGGGGTGGTGACTGAGAGAAGGGAGAAGAGCTAAGCCAGGGACAACTGTGTACCACTGATGGAAGCCTTTGCCAAACTCTGTGAGGAGGTTAAACATTCTGGCCAGCTAGTGTGGTACGTGTCATTCAGTGGCGATTCCAGTATGTCGCTTAGCATGTTGAGGGCCCTGATCAGTCCCAAGGTACCACTCCCTCTTCCACCTGATTTTACAGTGCTCTACTACTTGCACTCTGGGCGTGGCCATGAGACTCACTTTAATAGAATGAGGCAGGAGCAACAATGTACTAGTTCTTAGTCTGTGTTTCAAGACCTTGTGTGTTCCCGCATGTTCTATACCTTCTATACTTGGGTTGGTTGTTGGTTCAAGGAAGATGAGAGATACATTGTGTTGAGCCCAACCAAGATCAGTCGACTCTCAGCTGACCCCAGATGTGTGAGCAATAAACGTTAATCATTTGTGGAAAAAATACCTACTTTTCAGTGTTGTTGTGGGACTAAAAGAAAACATATAAGAAGCCTGAGTCTCAGCAGTGGGATACCTACAATCAGGACATATTGATACATACAGTTGAAATTCATCTGTGTTCATAGTTGCATGGCACTCCGTTCTATTAAAACACCACAATTTTTGTATCTATTCATATGACAAAAGATGTTTTGGTTGATTTCACTTTTTTGTTGATATAATAAAATGAACATTTATGTACATCTCTTCTGATACACAGGCAGGGTTTTACTAGCACTAATAACAGGGATTGGAATTGCTGGGTACCAGACTGTAAACACCTTTCCTAGACAATGCCAGACTGATTTCTAAGTGGTTGTATGTACTGACACTTCCACTAGGAGTGTATAGGGTTTCCCTTTTCTTGATACTTTCACCAATAATTGGTGCTGCCAGGTTTCAAAATTTTTGCAATTTGATGGGTGGTAATTGTATCTTCTGTGGTTTCATTTAGCATTTCCTTCATTACCAATAAATAGAGCATATTTTAATATATTTAAGGGTCATTTGTGTTTATTTTTTGAGAAATGCTTGTTCAGATCCTTTTTCCCAAAATTTTCTATAATGTTTTCTTTTGCTTGATGATTTGTGGAAATCTTTGATATATTTTGGAATTCAGTCTCTTTTTCTTTTTTACCCATATGTAACAGGTATGTCTTCTCTCCCAGTTTTTGCTTTGTGTTTTCATTTTTTGTAAATGATGTCCTTTCATATATAGGATTCCTCATTCTCATTCTTTTTGTTTGTTTGTTTTGCATTTTTTGTGTTTAAGATATTCTCTGTTTTCCAGAAATCAGAACGATAATTTCTTAGACTTAATTTCAAGTTTTATAATTTTGCTTTTCAGCCTTTAAATCTCTTAGACTTGATTTTGTGTATGATCAATGTAATTTTTTTCTTCTTGGACAACCAATTGTACTATCACTGTTTATTAAATAAATCCATCTTTTCCCCATTACCCTGCATGGCCACTTCTGTCATATATCCAATTTTTGTGTGAGGGTGTGTCTACTTCTGGTGGTGTTCAGTGTCCTTAGTCTATTTTTGTCCCAGTTCCACATTGTCTTACTTAGCACTTAAAATAAATGCTGATATCTGGTGGTGCATGTCACTTACACGATGTTCTTCCTCTTGATTGTCTTGAATATTAGCCTTTTGCTTTTCTATATACATGTTTAAATAGCTTAAGAACTAACACACACACATGTGCACACATATATGTTATATATACATAACATATGATTTTCTTGGAGCTGAATTGAATGTATAGAAGGATTTGGGGAAGAATTTCTAGTTTTGTTATTTTTTTAGTCTTCTAATCTCTAAACAGGGAATGTCTATTAACTAAAGTTTCAACTTACTATTCCTTTTGATTATCCTTGGGATTTTCATTATTACTTTTTTATAGTATCACTAATGCATTTCTAGATTTGCTTGTTGGTATTAATCCAGGTCCTGAGCATTTTCCAGTGGAGTGCTTATACATATTTAGTAAAGCATCCTACCAGAAGTAGATAACCTATGGAGAGTATTTTTATATGCAGTTTTCTGTTTAAATATGTGTGACTACCTTGAGTTTGGTTTCTCTGCCCACCTATGTTGTATACTTACATACATGTTGGTCTATTTTTCACTTTGTAGGTGGAAAATGTTAACCAGTGAAAGAGCCCATTTTTGGTCAGGAAGAATTTCACAAAGTAGGTCTGAAGGAAATCTGATTGACATGGAAGACCAAAAAACCTCAAAAAATTGCAGTATCATAGGTATGGGAATTTATAACTGTTGTAATCTTTGCATCTAGTACAGGTCTACCTCTGAAAAATGCTACATAAGATTAAAAGAATGATAAAATCCCAACATTATCATAGAAATGCTTACACTAAAAGATGAGCAAAATAGTGCAACCAACGGATTATAATAAATATTACAAGGAGGCAAAAACTCATTATTAAATGAATGTTTTATATGCAGTAAATATATAATGAACTTTGGGGTTAAAGACATCTCTGAAGGCTGGAGTGGGCTATAAAATCTTTATGGAGCATAAGAGAATTGAATTGAACCTCAGAGGAATAATAGTTTTAAGAGAGTTAGATGGGACTGTATTGAAGAAAATATGGAAAAAGGAGGAATGCAGCCTTTTCAAAATGCATCTTCTGATTTTTAGTATATGCTACTTAAAACTTATTTCGGTCAATATAATAGTTGTATATATATTAAGCAAAAGAAGTCTGGCAGTTTACTTGAATTTGTTTTTCTTTGGCCCTTTGACCTTCATTTTTTCTAAAGCAGCACCAGCTTCATAAAGTCCACAGAATCATTACCAATAATTTCTGAGAAATGACCAAGCATGGGTAGCTCTAAATATAAAAAAAGGCTTCAGTATTTGTGAGATGTGTAGAAATTCCTTATAGTTGATATGTGAATATTTTAATGTGTTGCTGATTCTTAAAATACTTTCCAAAGTAATTAGCATGTTTCCATTTCATAGTGATAAATCTGTTTTTGTCATTTTAACTTGAAAAAGCTCAATGAACTTCAAGTAGTAAATGTAATGTTTATTTTAAGTGAAAAAACTTTAATGTTATTAAAATTTATTAATACCAATTTATCAGAAAATAATCTGAGAAATGCATAATTGTCTAATATGGCATATTGCTTTAAAAATATTTTATCTCTTAACAGATGTATTTGATATTTTTCACATGTTAAATATTATCAGAAAAGAAAAACAATAAATGAATATTGAGAACAACTATTCAATGTTTAGAAAAACCTGGGTAATTGACTAAATTATTCTGTTCAGAGGTTTTCTTTTGTGGAAATGAGACAAAACTATAAGGCATAAGTATATGTAATCTGGGTCATTTTCAAGGAAATGTGTTAAATTAATTATTATCTAAATTGTTAAACATTTATTTATTAATAAATCAGGAAGTCTTAAGATAAAATAAGATTACATATGGTCAAAATAAACTGATAGAACAATTTCCCTTTCCTCACAACATAAAAATTGACCAAATTTAACATAAATTTTGCAGCAGCACCTATTAGACTAGAGATCAAATAGCAAAATAAAAAGTCTTGAATTTTTAAGCTGTAATAAAAAATACTGTTGGTTGTATCTCAGAATGACACTCATCTTTGTTTTGCTTTGCCTTTGTTTAAATAACAAGAATGTCGAGACCCAGGTTTGCTTCTCAACTGGCCAGATGCTTTCACAATCCGTGCCAATAATGCCTGCAAAGCTACAAATCCATTCTGGAATGAACTGTCTGCTTCTAACCCATTTTTGGATGACATAACTCAGCTAAGAAATAACCAGAAGAGAGAGAATATTTCCATCTTGAAGGAAGATCCTTTTCTTTTTTTCAGAGAAATAGAAACTGGAAATACTTTTGATTCCTCTGGTGATGAGCTTGATGTACAACAATTGCTTAAGCAGTCCTCCCCAGGGAAATCGGGGAGGTCTAAAAGTGTTTCAGAACTGTTGGACATTTTAGATGACACAGCACATGCCCATGAGGATATACATAACTCTGACCAGATCCTAGAACAAGACCTAGAATGGCTTCAGAATGATCGAGAGGCTTATAAAATGGCTTGGCTAAGTCAACGCCAGCTGGCCCGTTCCTGCCTGGATTTGAATACAATTAATCAGAGTCCTGGATGGGCCCAAACACAAGTTGCGGAGACCATGATAGTTTGTAAATTAAGCCATGAAGGAGGGTCCATACAATTACCTGAATCAGATATTACTGTTCACGTGCCCCAAGGTCATGTAGCTGTGGGAGAATTCCAAGAGGTATCTCTCAGGGTTTTTCTTGATCCTCCACAAATGCTTAACCATGGTCTTTCATGCACTGTAAGCCCACTGTTGGAAATCATGTTAGGCAACCTTAACACAATGGAAGCGATTTTGCTGGAGATGAAAATCGGGGCCGAAGTGAGAAAGGACCCTTTCAGCCAAGTCATGACAGAAGTGGTGTGTTTACACAGCCTGAGTAAAGAAGGCCCTTTCAAAGTGTTAAACAATTGCTACATTTATAAAGACACCATCCAAGTCAAGCTAATAGATTTGAGTCAGGTGATGTATCTAGTGGTTGCTGCACAAGTTAAAGCTACTCAGTCACCAGCTGCCACCATTTGGGATTACGTCCACAAAACCACCTCAATTGGAATTTATGGTCCCAAATACATTCATCCCAGTTTCACTGCTGTTTTCACAGTTTGTGGACACAGTTATATGCCAGGAAAGCTCACAATCTCTGAAATTAAGAAGGGGAGGAACACGTCTCCAGTGGTGTTTCAGCTCTGGGGAAAGCACTCGTTCTTACTTGACAAGCCACAGGATCTACGCATTTCTGTTTTTTCATGTGATCCTGATTTCAAAGTAAAGGCAGAAGGAGAAAGAAAAGAAATTAAACAAAAGCAGTTGCAAGCAAGTCAAAGAGTTCATCAACAATTTTTATTTTCTTTAGTTGACTCCAGAGAAATGCACTTGTTTGTTTTCTGTGTTCAGTTGGAGCCTCCCAATGGTAGACCAGTTACACAGTTCTTTATCACTACACCTGATCCAGCCCCAAACTTAAAAAGAGTCTCAAATTCAGCAGAAAATTTGCAGAAGAAGGAAATCAAGTCTGCTCCTTCATTACTGACAGTGCATGTTAAATATCCCACATTTCAAGACAAAAACTTGAACTTTACCCACTATGGGGTAACTCTGAAGGCAGTGCTGAGACAAAGCAAGACTGACTACTTACTTGAATATTTCAAAGGGGACACGATAGCTCTTCTTGGAGAAGGTAAGGTAAAAGCCATTGGGTATTCCAAAGTGAAAGAATGGTATGTGGGAGTCCTGAGAGGTAAAATTGGACTTGTGCATTGCAAAAATATCAAGGTGATTGCAAAGGAACGAGTAATGACTATGTCAAATAGTGTCTTCACAACCAGGAAACTTCTTGAACAAATTGCCCTGCCCTTTAAAAAACTGACTTATATCTACTCAGTTGTATTGACCTTGGTGTCAGAAAAAGTTTATGATTGGAAAGTTTTAGCTGAAATCCTGGGTTACTCACATCTGGCACTGGAAGATTTTGATCGAATGCAAGCAGACAAAGAATCAGAAAAAGTTTCTTATGTTTTAAAGAAGTTAAAGGAAGATTGCCATGCAGACAGGAATACCAGAAACTTTCTTTATGAACTTACTGTGGTGAGTATTTCTTGATCGCAGTAATTTATTTACCATAGAAAACTTTATTAACTTGGTAATATTTATAACCAAACATATGAGAGGAGAAGCTGAAAAATTATCAGCAGCCTCAAATAAATTGAAGTCACTTTACAGCAAATACATAGCTTTTCCTATGAGATCATATATTTAGTTTCTTAGATTCGGTTGTGATTTTCCCAGAAACTAGGCTCACAAGGATCTTCTTTTAAAGGAAGGTTAAAGTTTGTTTGTGCTAGAGCATAACAGTTAAGAGATTTTTTTCCTCTCTCAAATATTTGAACGGCTCTGAAAACTTCATTGAAACTCCAATAAAATGAATAAGAGCTAACTGAACAAAACTAATTAACTTGGCCTTTGCTATATAGGTCCACTTTTTCGTGTTTTTTTTAAAACATATAATCAGTGTCCTTTACTTTAGCCATTTAATATTCTTCTGTATGCAATTCATTATAACCCAAAAATAATATTGCTTATTTTCTTCTTAATCTTCATGATTTACTAGTACTCACAGGATCTTTTTTTTTTTTTTAAAGATAGCATTCACCATAGTGTAAGTCTTAGTGGAGAGTTATAAAGAAGATGAAGAACTGTTTTCCCTTTAAAGTGGAAATTCAATGTTTCATAAAAGTAAAAACCAAAAAATCAAAATCATATTTCTAAAAATGGCTAAAATGTGAATGTATAAATAATAATGTTGATGACTATCACTCCTCTAGGGTTCTCTGTTTGGCACTGTGCCGAACAATATACACACTCTCATTCAGTCATTAGAATAACTCTATGGGGTAAGTCTAACTAGTCTTCTTACAAATGGAGGAAACTGAGTCTTGAGAGGTTGGGTTCCACAGTTGGTTAGGAGCAGAGATGGAATTTGTAAACTTTTTGGTTCCAAAGGCATGCTTATAACCACTATGCCTTTCTGAAACAAGTTTGTGTGTGTGTGTGTGTGTGTGTGTGTGTGTGTGTAAATGTTTGAGTAGGTGTGTTAGTGTGTATAGTAAATACCATTATAACTGTGCAAAGCTGGTGCTCTGTAGATGAGGCAGGTGGGGCAGGTTCATGTAGAGGAACTGAGTTTTAATGAAAGTGTAAAAGGAGAAATTTCTGGAGAGGCATTTATCCAGTGACATTAACAATAATTTATATAATCAAGAAATAAGTATATCTGAAACATTTCCTCTCCTTCCATTATTTTTATGATTCTGCAGTGATAATGAGAGGGGTTAAATTTTCAAACCCCCAGTATCCGGTTATTAAGTGGACAGCTCTCTGGTGGCATGCCACATTATCACTTAATCTGGGCTGTTTACAGTCATTGGCTGGTCCACCTGGTCAAAGCTGCACCTGCATTTTGCAACAGCTCATTACCTCTCATGGTTCATGTTCACCATGGACCCTGGAGGTTTGAATTGAAAATGGCTTTCTTAGTGGCAAAAAAGGTAATATTGGCCAAATGATCTAAAAGTTTAAGCCTGATCGCACCTGCACTATATTGATGTATGATAGTTAATTGAGTAGCTTTTGTGACAAGCCAAGGTGGTGCTGGTGGAGAGCTCATTCAAGGGAATAAATAAGTGGTTCCTAAAAACTCAAACTGTGCCTCAGTGGAGGCTTCAGGGTTTCTGACTGGAAGGGGCTTAGGTCTGGTTATCTGACCTGAAGATGGTGGAGCACATGGTACAGAGGTTATCTCTTGACACTTCATTTGCATAGTAAGTATACATTTTTCCTTCGAATGTATACTCATTTGAGGTAGCTGGAATGGAGCTAATAAAGATTGTGGGTTCGAAACGCCTTAGTCATCTCTAGACATTGAGACTGGCTGTCCTTATATACTTGAAACTTGACACTAAGTACTTTAGCATTTGATTCAACTTTCATAATGATTATAGGGAGCTAGATGAGGTGTTATTAACACTGTATTCATTTTTAAAGTCATTAGATAGAGATATTTTCTGATTTACCTGAAGTCTCCTACTTTGTGGAGCTGGACTTTACACTCAGTTTTGTAATTCTAAGTGTATGTTATTTTCCCTTAAAACAAGGAACTAGAATCAGAATTGCTAAACCCACTCCACAGTTGATTAAAAGAACTACTGCGGAGTCAGTAGTGCTTCTCCCTAAGGTCATAGCTCCTCACCATAAATTTATGGGTCAATATGTAGTGTATGTATAAAGACTATGGGTGGTCCTTTTAATGGTTCCATGGGAACGGCCACTGTATGGACTTCAATAGTTGCCTTACTTGCTCATTCATTTTTACGTATTGTTTCATAATGATAGATAAAACTTTAAGTGCCATTAAATGAGGGGCTACCAAGCATGTTTATTTGCTTATTTGAACAGAGAAGAGACATAGATAGATCTAACCTCATATTTTTAAAACATATTCAAGGCAAAAGAGAAACTCGTAGACTCGTTTGAAACATGTGATGTGATTGACAGAGCTCAAATGCGTAATTGAGGAAGACAGAGTCTGAAGACTTCCCATTTTGCATTGTAGAAGACTTAGGTGTTTTATCTTTAGTAACTTGTGGTTTATATTCAGCACCATGACACCGGTGGTGAAGGGACAGAGTTAAGTTTTTTAAAAGTCATAATCACCAATAGCTTTGTTCAAAGTTGTAGTAGTGTTTCATTTTTATGCAATAGGCACGATTCTGGCAAATTTAAAATCACATTTTGATAAAAAATAGAATAATGTTTACCAGCACCAGTGTAGTCACTCCTTAGAGAAATCGTGTCGCCAGCTCTCTGGTGTAGAGTGAATAACCTTCCCTGAGTTGATGAGTCCTATACTGCTCAACCTCAGGGCATCTTTAGAAGTGTCTAGTTCAATGTCCTCCTTTTGCAGTTAAAGATCTTAAAAAAACATTTGTTAAGTGGCTTTCCTAAAGTCCTATAATTAGCCACTGAGTTAGTCCTAATTCTCCCCTAATTTTGGTCAAGTTGTGTTTGCTGTCCTTTGATGGTTGGATTTTCTTAAAATGAAATCAACTTTATAAATTTTAGGAAGCTCAAATATATGTGTGGTGAAAAAAGAGGATGTCAGTTTCTACAATATGTAATGAAAAATGTAATTTCTTGGAAAAAGCCCAAATTAGTTGCTTTTAATTATGACATGCAATTATTGCTGCAGGCTCTGCTGAAGATGGACTGCCAAGGGTTAGTAGCGCATATCATCCAAGAGGCTGCTATTCTGACGTCAGCTGTCAAGCTTGGAAAAGGCTGGAGGGAACTAGCTGAAAAGTTAGTCTGACTCACAAAGCAACAAATGGAGGCGTATGAAATTCCTCACCGAGGAAAAGCAGGAGATCTTGCTGTTGAGGTAATATTTGTGTTTGTTTCATTCAGTAGTGAAAAATTGCAGACCAAGTCAATCAAATGTAATCAACGCTGAACCACTTACATAAATTAATTGGGGAGTTGCCAAGAGGATCCACTGACTGAAGTCACTGCCCTTATAATCATTGATATTATCTGAAATATACACATATCATTGTTGAAAAGCATCGAGAGCCTTTAAATTATATTGGTGTTTCTCCTATTGGATTGCATATTAGCATGGCCTTTGATCAGAAGAAGTGATCAGTTGGATAACTAGCCAGTTGGTAGGCAAAGCAATAACCACTTGAGGCAGAGAACTGATCAGCTTTGAAAGGAGGAGAGCGGACCCTGTCAAAGCAAGGGAAAAAGATATTATAATAATAAGTATTTATCACCCTCAGGGATAGGCTTAGTAATTTGTGATAAATAACGTTTGGTGACAAGAAGCATTAAGAGGGTGGTTCGTGTGGGGTGACTGATAATGAGAGCTAGAGATATATAAGAGCTTCTTTATCTCCTTCACAATTTTGCATATAATTAGAGCTATAGACATCAACTACAGAATGACAGCATATAGAACAAAGTAAATATTTACTTTGCAAATATTGCTTTTCTTAATATTAAAACAAGTGTATGTTAGGTAAATATGTTCTCCACTTACCATACAGAAATGTGAGTCAAGTATTATTGACTTAAAATATTTCAATGACGAGCACCTAAAAAAAAATGTTCTATATCTTTCTCTCACAAGAGTTGAAGCATTTTCAAGGTATTTCAGTTAAGGAAAGATTATCTCTCTAGATGATGACTTGGCAGGAGGCAGAAGCTATGCTCTCCGCTTCCTTTTTGGGCATAGAGCTGGGAATTAATTTCTTGAAAGATTTTTCTTACTTTGAAGCCACTGTGCTAGCTGGCTGTGCAGGGCAAGACAAGAGTCAAATCAAGTCCATTGAACCCCCGTGGAAGTCTCAGCAGGCCAGCTTCTGGGTTCCTGGGGCCTGGCTCCCCAGCAAGACTCCTCTAAACAAGACGATTTAGCCAGGAGTAGCCAGAGGCTGAGGACGTAATTCCTCCTCTTAGACTGCATTTGTCTCCTACCCTGAGAAGGCATTACGACCCACAAACCAGTTTTAAGTGAATGAGCTAAAAGATGACCAATTTTTTAAGAAAGAAAAAAAAAACAATATTATGAGGGATATGCTGCTCTAAATATTTCAGTTTAACTAATTTAAAAAAAAGCCTGACTGAGGTATCACTACACACCTATTAGAATGCACAAATCCAGAACACTGAAAACACCAAATACTGCTGGGGATGTGGAGCAACAGGAACCCTCACTCGTTGCAGGTAGGGATGCAAAATGGTACAATTAATCTCTTTGGAAGGGACTTTGGCTGTTTCTTACAAATGAAGCATACTCTTAGCTTGCAATCCATCAGTTGTGCCCATTGGTATTTACCCAAAGGAATTGAAAACTTATGTCCACACGTAAACCTGCCCATGAATGTTTATACCAACTTTATTCATAATTGCCAAAACTTGGAAGTAATCAAGATGTCTTCAGTAGGTGAATGGATAATTAAACTGGGGTACACCCAGATAATGGAATGTTATTCAGCATTAAAAAGAAATGAGCTATCAATCTAGGGAAAGACATGAGGAAACTTAAATGCATTTTACTAAGCTAAAGAAGCCAATCTGAAAATTTAACATACAACATTCTAGAAAAGGCAAAACTATGGAGACAGTGAAAAGATTAGTGATCGCCAGGGATTGGGAGGGCGGGATGAATAGGTGGAGCCAAGAGGACGTGGAGGGCAGTAAATATACTTGGACGATACTACAATTACAGCTATATATCATTATACATGTCTCCAAACTCACAGCATGTGCAACACAAAAAGAAAACCCTAATATAAACTTAGGGATTCGGGATGATTATGATATACTAATGTAGATTCTTCCATTGTAACAAATGTCCCACTCTGGTGAAGGATGTTGATAAATGGGGGAGGGTGTGCATATGTGAGGCCCGGGTGTATATGGCATATCTCTATACCTTTCTCTCAATTTTGCTGTGAGCCTAAAATGGCTCTAAAAAAATCTTTTTAAAAAATGGTCTAATTGAAAGCAGGACTTTTTTTTCTTAACGTCTCTGTTTTTAGAAAGGTTTTGTTAAGAATTATTTATCAAAGAGTTATTTATTCTCTCAGCTTTGTTAGGCATCTGACTTCTCTGTAATTATGGTTGTTTATAGTTTGTCATCCCCCAAATCTTGATGGAGTCCAAACCAACAGTACATTCTTCCATTATTTACTTTTGCACAGCCCAAGTTACAATGACTAAGTCTATTTCAGAGGCTACTAATGCTCAGAAGCAGAAAGAAAGCCCCTAGGTGTCTTTCTAGGGGCTATTACTTAATTTATTGTGATTACTTAATTGTGATGACTGTTAATGTGACTAACAGTCATCATTCTGATCCATGTTATTAAATGCTTAAAAATAATCTGTGGTATATTTGACTTAAAGCCATCCCAAATAATCTATGGGAATCTTTACATGTTAGGCCCCTTAAACTAAAGGTAAATGTAACGTAATAACCATCTCTCTGGGGGGAGGAAAAACTGTATACTTTTTTTCTCTGGAAGGAGATAATTCTTAAATATAATCAATTTAGAAATCAAGTGGTTCATTTCAAAACATACTGCTATGAATTCTGGGTAAGAGATGCAGAGGGAGGGAACTGGAATTGGGACAGAGCTAACAAGGTCTCATGGTTCCTGTGCTGCCTAATTTCCCTTTATCTCACTACCTCAGAGAGCAAAGTTTGGAAAATTTTCTTCTATGAGTGCCAATGCCTACAATCCAGCTCTTTCTTTCACTTTGTTTTCAATTTCTCTCCTTTGTTCTATTTTTATGGCATTTAATAGTTATCTGGCACTTATTCTGTGCCAGGCACTATTTCAGTAATGTTTCAACTTATTTAATTCTTTCAACAAAAACATATAGAGCAGGCACTAATATTTTCTAAAATGTAAGGAGACTATGTTAGCTGGTTAAACCTGCATAGCCAGAAAGTCATGGAACCAGGTTTGCAGCACTCGCCTTTGGCTGTGGGGTCCTTGTACCTTGTGCTCATCCTTTGCACTCTGCCCTCCCACTCCAGGTCCCATATGGTGGCTGAGTGGCAGAGCCAGCAGCTGTGATCAGGACAGGGGGTGTTAGGCATCTCATTTCACTTTTTCCTCCTATTTTTCAAGTTATGATATTGCCAAAATTTGTTTCAACCTCTTCATCAAGTCATGAGCCAATTAAAGAATGGAGATTACTAATAGTATGCCATATTTCTCTTGAGTACTTTGGTCATTTCTTACTCTTTTATAAGATGAGAAAAAGCCTCTCTCTAGAGACTTCTGAGAACGTCACTTTTTAAATTAACCATCTTCTGAAATTAAGTTTTAAGAACTGTTACTCAAGTTTTCTAATGACATTGCAGTTCCTACATAAAAACAAAACTATAAAACTTGAAATATGATTATAAGTAAGACATGTTTCTCAGAGTATTTCTTTGGGAAAAAATACACTTATGCTATACAAAGATGGTTATTGCCAAGGTTTTTTTGTGAAAATTAGTAAAAATTCATTGCCATTTTTCCAAAAATATTTAGAGCTTTAATTAAAAAAAAAGGAATCAATAAAATATTAGAAAAACAACCCATTTTTAAAAACAGTTGGATTTTACAAGGGATGATGCTGGGGATTTCAGGGATAAGATATTCACAGGCCTAAATTAGGTACTCTTCACTTAACCTTCTGGGGATTATGACCATATATGACAATAATTTACCTAGCAACTCTCCCATTGGCCCCTGCATAACAATAAAGATTATGATCTTTCCATCTTATTCAATATGGACACTTATTCACCAAGGACACTAAAGGTTCACTTTCCCCTTTAAGTTATCTTTTACCAATCAATGCTCACTCACCTTTACCTCAACCACAGGAACCTGTAGATAGGCCTGTTGAGGCTGATTCCTCACCTGACCTGCCTCAATGGGCCATCACCCCCCACACACACACACCCATGGAAGCCCAACAAAGTCAACATTTATACTTACAATATTTATTTTTGTCTTAGAAACTACCTATAGAGAGTTGTAACTGGCAGGGTATGTTTTTATGCCTTTGTAGTTAACACTTAATCGGTGAGGATCGAATTCTCTGTTTTACCTTCTAGCCATAATCTGTCCTTCCTTGTTTGTGACTGGCCACTGTGGTGTTCAAAGCACTTTATTCTAAGCCTAGATAAAAAATGAGAAAGTAGGTGATTTTTATTAATTTTTTATAAGTAAATGAAAATTTTATATGAAATTCTTCCCACTTGTTTAGTATTTTTTTTTCTCTTTGTACTTGTTCTCAGTGTTGAATTCTTCTGTACACTTAACACAGTTTCTGGGACTGTCAGTTTTCAGCATTGGAGCATACAGAACCACAAACAGAATGAAAAATATGATTTTTTTCTCTCTAAAGCCAAATTTTATTTGACCTGGGAACAGGGATAAACTGTTAATATTTGAATGGTTATATTTTAAAGAAGTATATGATTACATGCTAAAAAAGTGAAAATAACTAATAATGAAAATGATAATAGTTGTGCATTATGTATTTTCTGAGTGTCATTTAATCATTATGAACATTTTCTTTACAATATCTCATTTACGTCAACAAATTTTGTAAGGAAGGCATCATACCATCTGTTTTTTACAGAGTGCAAACTAAGAGTGAATGAACTTATATAAGTTATCCAGAGTAACATGGTCATTAAATGACAGAATTATTGGGTTGTCAGAAAAGTCATGACGTATTTTATCTATGTTTTTCTTTTTCTCTTTTTTAGAATTTTATTGGGGAATTGGGGGAGGAGAACAGCGCTGGGGAATCGGGGAAGGGGAACAGACAAGTTGCTGGTCTTTTGTTCTTCAGTCTAGTGGTGGAGGA